AAGCTGGTGGAGACCTACGTGGAGACCATCAGCAGCGGGAAGGTGCCCTGCCTGGAGAGCGCAGTGCTGGCCTTGGCGGAGATGGAGAACGCGGCTGCCGTGGAGGAGGCTGTGGCCTGCTATGGGAAGCTAATGGAGCAGAGGCTGAGCCTGCCCACGGAGAGTGTCCCGGAGCTGTTGGGGGTCCATGCCGGGTGCGAGAAGGAGGCCCTGCAAGTGTTCATGGCGCGCGCCTTCAAGGATGATGAGCGACGCTTCCAGTTAAAGTTCATGGTAGTTTCCCCCACGAGATGAGGCCACTAGTAAGGCCTGATTGGGGGGGGGGGTGTCTCATGGGGGAGGGAGCCTCAGGGGCAGAAGGGGCACCGGTCCTACTGGCAGCACTCCCAGCCCCACTTGACTGGTCCCTTCATTGGAGTTCAGCACTAAAGTAGGGCGGTTTAGCAGAGCAAAAGCTTCCAAACACAGCAGCAGCAGAGCAAGTGAAATCTCACAATTCAAGGAGCAAAGGAAGGCTTCAAAAATTACAAAGATCTTATCTGAAAGAACTACATTTATATTATTATTGTTATTGTTATTGTTCTGGGCACCACAATTGACATATTGAGAAATTGGAATGTGTCCAGAGGAGGGCGACTAAAATGATCAAGGGTCTGGAGAACAAGCCCTATGAGGAGCAGCTTAAAGAGCTGGGCATGTTTAGCCTGAAGAAGAGAAGGCTGAGATGAGACATGATAGCAATGTATAAATATGTGAGAGGAAGTCATAGGGAGGAGGGAGCAAGCTTGTTTTCTGCTTCCCTGGAGACTAGGACACGGAACAATGGCTTCAAACTACAAGAAAGGAGATTCCATCTGAACATTAGGAAGAACTTCCTGACTGTGAGAGCTGTTCAGCAGTGGAACTCTCTGCCCCGGAGTGTGGTGGAGGCTCCTTCTTTGGAAGCTTTTAAACAGAGGCTGGATGGCCATCTGTCAGGGGTGATTTGAAAATGCAATATTCCTGCTTCTTGGCAGAATGGGGTTGGACTGGATGATGGCCCAGGAGGTCTCTTCCAACTCTTTGATTCTATAATTGTTGTTGTTTTTGTACAACAACATGCACCATCATATACCATCGTGACCCGATCTCACTTCTCACAGGTGGCACACAAGTTTTAATTGTGCAAAGGTCCTCCCGACCACCACAGATACCTGGGCCTCCAGGTTCAGCGCTGAGTCCAGGTGG